CCCCAAAACCCCAAAACCCCAAAACCCCAAAACCCCAAAACCCCTGTCATAATACATTAATTGGAAAATGCTCTGTTAAGATTACTAAATTCTTCGAGTTTCGTTTCGAATGCCTTTACTGTGGCATAATCTCCCCGCTAAGCTCTGAGCAACTTTTTCTAGGTCTGCAGTCGTACTTTCTACATGTGTGGTTGTTCCAAATCTTTGACTTCCTAGAGAACTAGGCCAAGTTAGGAGAATTACAAGAGTTGACTTGATTTACATGATATTATTACTTCTTTTCGTGTTTGGTAGATTGGCCATTATAAGAACTTTGACTTAGTTTTAGGTACTATAAGGCATCTTTAGAAGTCTTCTTACAAATGAAGAGAGGGATGATAGAAGAAATTTACCGATTTTGGATTTCTTGAATTTTTCTTTATTTTTGTTATACCCTCTTTTGTCAAAAGTTTTGTGCTCTATTGACATTTTGCCTGTGAAGGGCACATCTAAGCCTTGCTGGCTACTTTTTGGGTAGAATTTGCCAGGTTCTAGCACACTTGTCTCATACATCGAGGTTTTCTCTAATGAATCATGCGTGCCTAGAGAGTGGGTTATCACACCAAACGTTGAGCATCTAACGGGAAAATACTTACTCAGATATTGCTTTGGGATATATCCATGGTTGAGACTTGATTTATTCTTCAAATGAGACCTTGGAATTCCAGCAAGCTTCTTCTTGATCTTCAATGGCTTTGCACCTTTCTGATGATATACTGAGAGAGGGGTCCTCTTGGCTTTTGAGTTACTTGAGGCTGCTGACATTTTTCTATGAATTTAGGCCAAAAATTTACGATCTTGAGCTTCCTCTGGACTTATTTAGGCCTTGAGTTATTTGCATGAGGTGTTTTAGCACTCGATATTATTGAAGCATTATAAGAATGGCAAAGGGATGAGCCTAGCTTCCGGCTATATTCCCTCTTACAAGCCTTCTTAGTTGACCCTTCAGTTGTGTGAGCCGAGCTAGACAAGAATTAGTCAGGAAAGTGTACTCTTTTTGCTTAGAATCTTTCAACTTCCTCTTGAATTTGTGATCTTTGTTGAGATTGATGACTTTCATTCTGGAACTAAGAACCTTAGTGTTCTGCTTGGTCGCTCGAGGACTAGTTAGAATCTTAAACGCGTTATTATTAGAAATAGTGTTCTGCTTCTTGTGCACTGCCTCTTTGGTAGTGATCTTCTTGAGATTATTTCTGGTAGAGTTGGTTTCTCTTTTAGTGATCCCTCTTTTGCCTGTTTTCATTTTCTTAGGTTTTTCATGATATGAAACACAGCTAAACGAATTGAATGGTTCTTCTTCTAAGAACTGCATTGTCAGTAGATGCTTTTTGTTATCTCTGTTATTTGAGGATTCCTTTCTATATAGATAGGTGAGACTACACAAAGAACTGTCCATTTAGGCATGAAGGAGCTACTTACGCTACTTTAACCATATTTTCAGCATACGAATTTAGATGTCTTCTAGAGGGGAATAAATTAATTTATCATACTTGTCAACAGTTGAGCTGCATATTTTATTGAGTCCTTCAAGTGTGTCAAAGGAGGATCCAACCATTTTCTTGCATTTAGTCCCTAAAATCTTTTCTGCAGGTCTGTTAGAAGACCTGCTGCTTGAATTCATGGCTTTGAGCTGTGAAAGAACATCTGAATTAGCAAATCGTGAGGGTGAATGGGGTTGAATGTATTTCTTGTACTTTGCTACAGTTTAGAGGTTCTCTCACTTTTCTTGAGATTTTCAACAAATTGCTTGCTTTTGTCAAGATTTGGCTTATTTTGTTTGTCGCTTAGCATACCGGTATCAAGATAATTTTCAATTTTTGTCCTGCCTTTTATGAGTTCTGTGATTTCGTTATAGTCAGTAGTCATATTTTCATTCCCATTAATCATCATGTTATCAGGAGTCCTATTTATCGTTCTCATCTAGGTTATCAACACTGAAGACATACCGGTTCTGCTGGAATTGACTCAAATAAGACTTTATTTTCACTAGGATTGCGGATATTGTTCTTAACTAAAAATGAGAGCAAATTTACTGATAATTTTATTCTTCCTGCGGCTGCTTCTGTTTTGAGCGCTCTTCTTTGCTGAGACGCCAGCTTTGCTGAAATTGACGACTGGCTTGTAATTCTTCAGTGCCTTGTTACGCAGATGAGGATGGTACTTGATTGGAACCTTGTCTCAAGATTTAGTTCCCTTCTTGCGTATTATGGGGTCTTTGTTGCTTATCTAAAATAAAAATTGAGAATTTAGAAGTTTATGGTTTGCTGACAACTTGAAGAGTCTCTTACCACTGGCTTTTTAACTGGTTCAGCTCTGGGAAATGAGAATTTTTTGTTCATTTTAGAATTTGCGAATTTATACTCAATTTCCTTATTTGAACTGTGTGAGTTCATGCTCAATTTCTTCGTTTATCCTAACGGGTCCTTTCATTTCCCTATTCATTGTGCAAGCTAATTGTCAGAAAACACAGGTACCAATATAGTTCCCATTAGAAGCTCTTGGCTCTGAATTCGCTCTCTTTGCTGCTCTTTTCTTACTCTCCTCTCCTTTAGTTCCTTCAACAATTTCTCCTTTTCTCCCAAAATTCTGAAGGAGTTTGAAATTGCATAACTTAGTTATCTGATTTTGATATCTAAAATCCACATTAACTCTCATTCTGACTCCCTAAACTCCCTTCTACCCCAACAGAACACTTCTTCTACGCTGCCTCCCCCGCTAGCCCAGGTGGCCAATCCTTTTTCCAAATTTCACCTTAAAACCCACATTTTTTGACCAAAAATCCTCAGGCTAAACCCTGTAGAAATCCCACTTAGTACAGGCTAGCACTTGGCTTCAAATTTGGTTGAGAAATAGCAAAAGAATTAGACTTTTAGGTAAACTTATTGGGTATAGGACGGTTTGGGTTAGGAAAGATCAGAAGGGTTGGAATAGAGTGTGGAGGGGGTTGTTAGGTATGATGAAGTTGTCAGTAATTTTATTAATGAGATCTTTGGAATTTGAGAGATTTATAACACTCTTTATGTAGACTAGTCTCGTAATTTCTGTGAGATTAAATCTTTGATCAATACCTAATCTCTACCAGCTCTGTAATTTATTTATAGTTAATTTCTAAGCATCAAGAAGGCTTACAGCCCTTCTTAGTACCTTTATTACCCAACCTTGTCTCAAACAAAGCAAGATTACAACAAGAAACAACAAAGGACTCCAAACTCTCATATACAACTCACCTATTGACACTCTGCTCCCTAGTTGTCATTCCTTCTCCATTTGCCAGGTCTATCATCTTTACTCCAGCCGCTGCCATCTTCCTCTATATTATTATTATTCAATTTAATTATTCCATAACGGGGTTTTGGGGTTTTGGGGTTTTGGGGTTTTGGGG